CCTTACGTATTGGGGATCTTATGGTATTAAATGTGTTGATTTGGAAAGCTTTTGTACAAAGTTATATTGAAAAAACCGTCTCGTCCTTAATTTTTGCACACCAGTGTATATTGTAAAATTACCTTGAATCTAAGGTTACCCACTTCTTAAGTTTAACTGATAAATTACATACAGTAAGACATTTACTAGCAATACGTGAAATAATAACATTTCACACTTATGTTGTATGTTTACAATGTTGACCATTGTATGTACTAGGCTAGCAGATTTTGGAGTTTAGCTTAATAGGCCAATACCGATGAAAAATACAATGCTGTAGTTTTAAAATATGACAGGGCAATAAAAATTGCATTCTTTTATCGAAGCACTCATAAGCAATGAAATGTAAACCTAAAACCTGTGTACCTGCATATTTATGCTCATATATTTGAACTAATTCCTTAAGGAAATAGTACTGGGTACATTGCGGTCTGTTCTTTCATGATGCACATTTTATAAGTAATGAATTGTTAAGTCCTTAATTATGAAAATTTTACCTGGGCCCAAACTGTAGTGTAGTAACTGTGCTTATCAAATCAGCAAGTAAAGAGGCACTACTATATTTGTAGCCATGCTTTTGAAAATTTAATGCATACACTTTATTTATTAACCTTATATTTTTTTGTAGTTAGTAATACATCAAACATTAGTTACAAGATTATTATCATATAAGATTTTAAAAAACATACATTTTTTTTTTAGTTGCAGGCAAATACAGAGTTTGTACGGTCTTTAAGAGTCGTTACATTTTTTGAATTGATTTTTGGCCCTTAAACGTCCTTAATTTTGACCAAAATCGGCATCAGGTCCTTAATTTTAATCATTTAAAATTTCTGTCTGCTTTTACGACTGCCATTCTGAATGTGAATTAGCATTTTGGAGAAACATTTTTGGCACTTTATTGACAAATATGGGTGAATAGGTTCATGGATTATAATTTGCACCTATTTCTAATATAAATGGTGGGATACTCAAATTTCTGAGCAAGAAGTGAAACATAAGCCTTTCGAAATTCTTTCGTTTCCCCCCCCCCTAATGAAGAGCTCTTGAACAACTTTTCGCTTTTGGGAATGTGAATTCTTCTATTAAAATATTCTAAATTTGGTGATTTATCAACATTTTGGCAGTTTTGAGTTCAGTTTCTATAAAAAAAATAATTTGGAAATTGGAATTTTTCGACAATAGTTTTAAAAATATTATAACATTGATAAATTGCATTAAAATAATGCTAACAGTTTGAAATATATTCAAAAAATAACATTAAAATGAAACATTTCTATTTTTCGCTCTCATATTATAAAAAGACATTACTTTCCAGTTTGACGACCTATTTATACAATATTTTGAATCTGAAAAAATAATAATAATAATAATAAATTAACAGAAATTACAAAACAATGGCTTAGGAAAAGCAAAATAGCTATGTAGTTAATTAAAAATATCTTCGTTTTAATTTTTTTCATGGTAAGAGTTTTTTCCATGTAATCATCTCATAATATGCATGAGTTTTATGTAAAACATTAATTTTACACCTTTTCTCCTCTGATTTTTTCCAACATATTTCTCGCTTTTTTGCTCTTACAGAATTGGTAGGGGTAATTTTTCTTTAGGATTTTAAACATTGCAACATGAAAAGTTTAGAAGGATTTGAAAGCAAGATTTATAGACCAACGAATCTGGAAGATTCCAGAAAAGTGCCTTCATCATATTAACACATAATGGATGTATTTTACAGAAAGTTTGTGGTGAAGTTCTTATTTTTTGGAGAATTTTTGGAAGAACAATTGAAAGCATAATATTTGAATGTTTTACTTCGGATACTAGAAAGTCTTTTTCTTAACATGTTTATCTTCCTTTTCACTAGACTCAAGCGTGGAAGTTATCAAAAATGCTTCTAATCTTATCACATGGATATTAATAAAGAAATTGAAAACTTGACAATTTTAAAGATCCATCTTATATGTCTCATACACAGGGCTGGCACTAGATATTTTCCCACCTGATGCAGTGTCTGTGGATTCTGAATTCTGCTGCCTAGTGTTTTCCTAAATTCTAAAAGTTTTGCCATTTCTAGATTTTTGTTGCTCAGTGTGTCACTAAATTCTAAAAATTCACCGGCACGTACCATATACAGTCAAAAGTCGTTAATCCGGACTCGTCGGGACTTCGCCGATTCTGGATTATTGATTTTTTCGGATTATAGATCATCAGTTTAAATTTCGTAAGATGACATGCAGAAATTCTAAAATTAAAAATATGAAACCGTAATTTATGAAATAAAGAACAATTATCATCTAAAGGGTATCAAATTTACAAAAAAAAAAAAAAAAAAAAAAAAAAAAAAAAAAAGCTTAATATTTATTTACTTTATTAAATATTTCTTTCAATGTAAGTTGTTTAAGTTTAAGTTGCTTCGTTTTATGTGATAATACTTTCTCTTTAATTCTATAAACAGACATAATTTCTTGTTCAGTTACAAAGTTCCGCTGTTCAAGTCCCGTTAATTGCTGTGCCGAGAATACCGACTAACTTGTCAATCGAAATTTTTTCGTTTTCACTAACCTCTCTGTCACATTCTTCATGTCTTTATCCATTTTTTGCGGCAATTCCACTTTTTGTTTGTTGGACATCGAAACATACTTTCGTTTTGTAGATCCTTTGGAAGTTCCAGCATCGGAAATTCTATTTGACATAATCGAAAGTGCAAGTTTACTTTTATAAAATTGCTCTTACAGTCTGCAAAAAATAATAAGCGCGATCCAATTCGAAGATTAAGGAACAACGCAATCATTAACATTAACTGAAATAGATAATTAGATAATTTTAGCTTACACCTTCCGTTATACATTAAACGCGCAGGCGAAAACGTATTCTGCACTTGCGCACACGCACATGCGCAGTAGTCAAGGTCTTACGCGCAGGCGTAAAACGCATGTGCCAACGCGGCGCATGCGCAGAAAGTTTTTAGCTTTGAGGTCCGGATTATAGATCATTCCGGATTTGGGGTGTCCGAATTAACGACTTTTGACTGTATAATTTCATATTTTATTCTGAATAGTCATATTACGAAAGAAATAAAATTAGCACCTTTTTCTATGCATTCTAAATGCATTTAGTTTTTTTAGAATAACAGAAATCTTTAATTGAATCCAAAAATTCTAAAATGAAGAGGAAACATATTGAAGGAAAAAACCGAATAATATGTATAGTTATTATTATGTCAATTAAGCAGTTGTTTATAATTTCAGCCTTTACTATAATTTTCTATTTCCTCACCAGAATGCAAATCACTTTTATTACTTAATTTAAATTAAGGTTTTGGGGTTGTAAGACAGAATTTGTTTCTGGCCTCGACTTGCATGCTGCATTAGTTTCTGTCAGCTCTGATAATTTGTAATAATTCACCTTTGCATTATTGCTATAGTTGAATTTGTTATGACAAATATTTGAATTTCTTATGACAATGACTATGTTATAACGTATGACTGAGCCAGCTTAGATTAAATTAAATTGTGTGGTCTTTGACTACACTATTTAATTTTATCTTTTACTACTAGTTAGTTTGAATTTGACTGTTCCTGTTTAATAAGATCACCACAAGTTGTAGGTGATTTTGCTAGCATAACAACATACCTTTATGTTCTAAGTTCTTTCTTAATAATCTTTATCTGACTTTGTAGTTGCTTTCAGACATAATGATAATTTGCTTAATGTCTGTCAGGGGTTTTGGAATATTTAACTTTTATCAGATGAAGTAAAACCTCTTAGGTGCATAGTCGAGAGATTGACAAGTTAGGAAATAAAACATGCAGAAACTAGTGGGAATACTGATTTGCATATTGAAACAAATTTCTAATTGCTAGAAAAGACGTTTAAAGAGAAAGAAATTGATATAAGTTAGCCAGAATGTTTGGAAAGGCTTCATATTAAAAAGATGCATAAATATTTTGTTGAGTATTGCTGCTACAAATTATAAATGTTTTGGAGCTTTTAAATGTGTTATCCTAATATCATTTAAGAATCAATCCATGTAAATCTATAATGACTAAGGGTATCTAACTAGCTACTGCATATTAAAGTGAGTTATTGCCTTTCATTAATCCTTACCATGATCACAAGATACAGCAAATTAATGTAAAACTTATTCTTTGCATCTAGTTAAATTTAATGCAAAACAACTTATCACCTCTCGTGCTTTAGTGGCTTATTGGAACCTTTAACTAGTATATTAACTGGGTTATAACCCAAGGAACTCTAGATGAAGCTATGACACTAACTGCATCAGACAAACAGAATAGAATTAATTAACTTTCAAAACTTGCATACATCAGGTTTGTTTTGATAAGCATGTCTTTAGGCAAGCAGCAGCGGGTGACAATGTCTTTTGTTATGAATCATGCCGATTATGAACTTACTTCTAATATTAACCTATGCCGTTTGACAAAATCTACATGCTATTTACTAAACCTCTAAACTGAGCAAGTACATGACAAAATGAAACTTAAAAGAATAAATCAGCATAAAGCTAACTTTTAGTAAAACTTAAGTTAAAATGTCACTAATCTTTTTTCAATTATGTCCAACTATTATAAGTGTAAAATAGTTAATGCTGCTTGATAAACATTATAAAGTTGATTTTATTTTCAAATTTGTTTTATAATTATGTTTATTAAATTATGTTTAATAATAAATCATTCTACTTGTGGATCTATTTTATTTTTAGGATGGTGAAGTTGAGAAGTGAAGTAGCTAATATCTTTTAACTGAATTTATTCAGTTCCCATTTGTTGATGGGTCCCTAATTTTTTTCATTAATGGGGTCCTTAAAAGTACTTAATTTCCATGTGCAGAAATGTGTACCCTGCAAATTTAATTTGTACGATTTTTTTATTTCCTGTTTAATATGAAAGTAGTATTAACTAACTATATATTATTTAATGCTTTGTATTTTTTTTTTCCAGGGTTAAAAAAATGCAGCTTGTGCCTTAGATATTAATAGAAAAATATAACAAGAAAATGCTGTTTTTTCATTCATATTTTGAGACTTGCAATAACACTAGATTTTTTAAAACAGTTATAAAAGTAATAATCAATATTTGAAGAATCTGACAAAGCAAAAATGTATTGACTGGGTGCTTTGCAAGGTAGAAAAAGTTGGAGTTGCTCACTGGATTCAGCATTATTTTGTACCTTTGTAGAAAAACATCATCTGACACTGTTATATTATTAAAAAAATTAAATGGGTTTGAGGTATTTGTAATCATACTACATTCTGATTTTGATATTTTTCTTCTTTAATAAGCTTTTGTTTAAAATTGTACATGTCTTTATAAATGTATTTTTATGCTAAATTTCATATTGTCTTTTGTCTACTTTGTGTATTCTACATTATAATGAAATTAAATAATATTAATACTCAATTCAAATAAATGCTATTTATCATATGACATCTGTGTTACTACTTTCTTTTATCAGTCCCCCCTCCCTTTAAAGTGCAACACATTTAATACTTCTTTCAAGTAAAGAAAAAAATCCATGAGATTTTCCTAGGTTATTGGTATTCAGTTTGGTTTTTGAAATATGAAAAAAAGTATTAAGGCAGGAAAAGAATTCAGTTTAGGTATACTAAAACAATACTGTACATTCATTGTTGTTTCAATGATGTTGCAAATTAATTTTGTCCATAAAGTGATCCAGCTGCAATTTAAAGTTCTAGGTCTAATGATGGCCAAACCAATATACTTCACCCTTAAATTTTAAATATAAGATACTACATAATACTTGATTTTAAAATTTGCAAAGTTTATATAAAATGACTATTCTAGAAACCATACTGCTGTATCAATCTAAAATGCAACTCATTTGTACAATTCTTTTGCTGCATACTAAAATTGTATACAAAAACCAATGGTAACCAACTTTTAGATTGTAGTTTAAAGACTGCATAAATAAAATAATAGGAATAAAAAAACAAGGCTGCATCATAGCTAAAGTTGAGAGAATCAATAAGTTATACAACTTAAGGCTTGTATTCTTTATTATCGAGTTTTTATTCTTGCACTTTAAAATTGCATAGCTGCTAATACTTTCAGCTTCTGTTGTGTATCTTATTTATGATGAGAACTCTATAACAATACAATAAGGTAAATCAGGTTTAACTACCCCAACCCTCTGTTCATGGAGATGGAAAGCTAACAGTCTTTGGGAAGTATTGAAATGTGATTTTGCCCCTCGTGATCTTGGTGGTTGCTGGAAAATATAGCTCCCTCAAAGTCGTAGTTCGTGAGATGTCCATTTGGTCACAGGCAGTTGTCACAAATGCCACATTCAGAGTTGTTTCCAAACTCTTAACTAAAGATCCTAAAACGTGAGTCAAGTAGATGAGAAGGACTTCTGTCTGCTTTTTTAATAAGAGCCACGAACACTCAGAAACACTGAAACTAAGAAATTTCTCTGCATAGACAGTAAAATTTGTCTTGAAGGAAATCAAGGAAAATATATTTTATGTAAAATGAGGAATTATTGATATTCTTTTAATATCTTCAAAGCTCAAGCCCTGTTATGTTGATCTGAGACATGTTGCCTTAATATGTTTGGATTACTTCCAAATTCTTAATTTTATGAAACTGATTTTGAATTTTTTGCATGTAACAACATTTTTTATGTTACATATTGTTATGATTATCAGTACAGTAGAAGTCCAGAAGTCCGCAAAGCTTGGGACCAGAGGTTGTGCGGATTTTAGGATTTCAAGACAGAAAAGATAAATCATAATATTCAGACTAAAAGTTCAAAATAAATAAGGCATATTACATACATTTAATTAAATTATTATATACATTATAATTATATTGCAATAACATTATTATATGCGTTAAATTATTATTACGTATATAAATTTATTATATTATTCATTGTGTTATATATGCCTTATTATATCGCCTCATGCAAAGATTTCCGGTGTTAGAATCACTGTTGCTGTAAAATTTCAACAGTGTTTCTTTATTTTTCCATATATCGTACACAATCGTATCGCAATTCCATACAATTCTGCTATAAAATGCACCTATCTCCATCTTTTGCAGAATTTGTACTTTTTGCATTACCGTCAATGCAACGTGTTTACGTTTTTCAACGTTGCAAGCAGTGAAATGATGAGTTCATTTCTTATCTGTAATTGTATTAAAAAGGGCTGAAATTTAAAATATTCTTAATTTATCCACAAAGTATCTAGATTTAAAAAAAAGGCAGCATTAAATAATCTCTTGAAATAACAAAGCTTAGAAAATACAACGTAAATTGTGAACTTGAAAGAAGAGTTGAGTGAATCATCTGCTTTCTTACCTCAATGCAGATTAGAGGAGAAAAAACTTTTATCATGATGTCAATAATTTGATATTTCCGTTATTCAGTAATTATGAGGTCATTATGTGGTTAAGTATTTTTTCTTCGATATTTCGTACTCATTGTTGCGGTTTCTGGAACCTATAAACTGAATATTTATATTTTGAAAGGCAACGCGAATTTCAGGAGTTGGCAGATTCCAGGTCGGCGGATTTTCAGTATTTGACTGTATCTTGTTTATGAGGCTACATAAAGCTTTGTATCTCTTAAGCAGATACCAAACCATCTGCCAGGTATTCTTATGTTATCCCTATTTTCATTTGTTTGCAAAAATGTGTATGAATTTCATTTTAATGGCTATTGCTTATCCCCATAAACTTTATTTGATGTAGATCATACTATAACCACAAATAGCCACCCAGATGGTATAGTGGTTAGGGAAGCATACTGCAGTACTGAAGGGCCCAGGTTTGAATAGTGGAGAAGGCATGATGTTTGTAAATGTATAGTGTCCATGCCGCATGGGGGAACTCTAAATATGTGGTGAGCCGAAAGTCCTCTCAAGAGGTTGGGATAGGGAAAGAGGGGTAGGAGACCTTTTTACCTGTCCCCACGGGGTATTCTCCATCAAAATTGGGGGCAGAACTCAGCGAAGTCATACAATCACCTGCACAGTGCTCAAGGCTCTTGCCAATGGCAGGTGCAATCTTGCTCCCCTTTCCATGATGAATTCCGTGGGCTTCTGATGGTATTGTCAGACAAGTGAGATAAGTCACAACACATGACCAAAAATGAAATCTGAATCAGTTAGTCACTGAGGTCACCTGATCATGTAGAGTAGACTTTAATTAATGTGCTGTTCCTCTAAAAAATTTCATGAGACTTCAGCCTACAGCAAAACTTGTCTACAGACAATGCACGAATGACATGCTTACATTTTGAAAATGTGCATGTAAGGCATATATTTTTAATTAACTGTAAAATGAAATTAATTATAGTCAACTTAAAATCCATAAATATAAAAAAATTGAATAATTAAAAATACTGCTTGTTAATTATATGCTTATTTAATTCGAAATTTTCATTTTTATTGCTCAAGCAGAAATAGCATTAAATCAACTAATATGCTATTGAAGCAATTAATTTAAATCACAAATAATCGTAGAGAAAATTAGAATCCACAAAGCATATATCTTTAAGGTTTTAAAATTCTGATTCCTACAGGGAAATCTAAAAAAAAAAATCTTGATAGAGATAAATATTATACATATAATTATCAACAAAAATACTTAAATTTATCAATTATGAATTTAAAGATTTATAAGATTGCTTTGTGAGCTTAAATTCTAAATTGGAACATGAAGACTCATGTTGTCAAAAAAGATAAACTCGTGTTATAGAAAAAGATAAAGGTTACATTTACCTTATCACTGAGAATGGCTTCATGAGTTTTCATGCCTAAATTTGGCTAAAATACAATCAGTTTTTTAAATAATAGGGGAAAAAATCATATTCTGTATTTGAGTTTTTTTTTCGGGGGGGGCAGATTCTGGAATTGTTATGTTTAAAAGCTGCTTTGAATAGTCTGAAACTGAACTTAGAAGATTATGCAATTAAAAATTGAATTAAATACGATTTTGCTTTTATATCATTTTTTTTCCATCGTCATTTACGAAGATATTTTAAATTTCTTTCAGTTTTATAGCACTACCTTTGCAAAAGTAATGCTGTTCATAGTCACCTTCTACTCTATGTGCAACTGAAAAATTTTTGTTGATACTGAAGAGTGCATAATTTACAGAAACTTTAGACACGGTAATGCATGGAAATTATGTAAAATATGTGTGTTTGCTTGGTAATTTTAGGCTCTAATTTTGAGGTTGCATAATTCACAAACTTAAAAACGTCCAATTTAATCACAAGAATCACATGTGACTTTTTCCCAGCATAGCTGAGGCAACCTGCAGGGTAAAGATAGAAGCTCACGGAAAGATAGAAGCTGGAATTAGCTGAAATACAATTGGTTACTCTTCAAAAATCCACAAGATCATTTACTTATCACGTGCACGAGCATTTCGGCATCATTTTATGTCTCTTGCCATCAGTTTCAGAAGAAATATTTTCCCTTATTACTCCACTTGCAAAGAATAAGCAAAGAAGTTGGCTGACCGAGCAGAATGGTTTATGTGTGGATACAGGTGATTCATATGTGAATTACAAATTTGTTTTACAGTACTATCTGATTCCAAGAGATACAACTATAAGTGCAAACACACATGAATAGCCTATTTATCTGTAAGAAACAGAAAATTGTTTGTTTCTACAAGTTAGCCATTACCGGCACAGATTTGTAGTTAACAATTCTACTGGACAAGTTGTAGTTTTTTTGCAAAATATCAGCCAAGAATGCATTATTGTTGATTTAACAATAATTTGAAGGAAATAAAACATTAAAATAATATAGGCAAGTTAATGTAGTTGCTTTCTGGGAGGGTAGACTAAAGAATTAACCTATCAATAGTAGCAGCAAAGTATAAAGAATTCACAGTAACTTAAGTAACTACTACTACTACAAAAATTGCATTCTGCAAATAGAATATCAGATACAGATTTTTGGATATTGCTTCATTCATTTAAAATTCATACTGTTTCTGAAATATCGCACAAATTGCAAGTCTAGAAATAGAAATAATTGATTTTCTGTCTGATCTGCAATTAAAAACAAGAATAACACAACCAGATTTTTGGATATTCATAGATGAGAAAAAATATCCACTCTTAAAAGAACTTATGAAAGGTTAAACTTCTGCTTTTGATCAACGTACCTATGAAAGTATTTTTTCAACAATAAACTTCTTAAAATTAAAAGTTCAGATCCAGAATAGCAAATGAGCATCTGAATGACTGCATAACTTTAGCAGTAACATCATGTCTATCAGAGTTCATTAAATTCGCAGAAGGCATGCAGTGTCAGGTTTTGTATTAAAACATGCTTTTTCTGTATTTAATTTACATCTTATTGAATGTTTAGTGTATAGTAATATAAAGTAATTTGCATTGTATTGAATTTTTAGTAATATAAAGAGTACAGAATTATTTTTTA